AGGATAAAACTCTGGTGGATTAAATATAAAAATAGATGGAAAAAAGGAACTAACGTAAGTTAGTAGTTCAAGGAACTAACATAAACCCCATAATTTATAATTTTCAGAATATCAAGAACAAGAAATCTCTCAAGCTTCTCTGGTAGATCTACTGATGTCAGGTTCTTAAAAGAAAGAAACAAAAACACCAAACCAAACCAAAAAAAAACCCCCTAATCATTGAAACCTGATTCCCCCCAAGACAACAAAGCCATTACAAAGAATCAAAGTGTGTTCCCACGTGTGTTGTCCCTGGAGGAAACTCAAAATAGGCTGATGCTAGAAACATTTTTGTAGGAAAACTTAGGAGCTGTCTGAAATCAAGCATCTATAAATGTTATTATAATCGCAGAACTTTTGTGGCTGAAAGGGACCTCTGGAGGTTGTCTAGTCCAACTCCCTGTTCAGAGCAGGGTCAACTAGAGCAGCTTGTTCAGTACCATGTCCAGTTGGGTTCTGAATATCTCCAAGGATGAAGACTCCCCAACCTCTCTGGGCAACCTATTCAAGTGTTTGACCATCCTCACAGTACAAATGTGTTCTCTTGCATTTAAATGGAGTTTCCTGTCCTTGAGTTTGTGTCCATTGCATCTTGTCCTGTCACTGGGCACCACTGAGAAGAGACTGGCTCCATCTTTACTGCCTCCTGTCAGTATTTATACAAACCGATAAGATCCCCCTGAGCCTTCTCTTTCCAGGCTGAACAGTCCCATCCATCTCTCAGCCTCTCCTCACATGCAGAGGTTCCAATGTCCTGATCAGCTTAGTGGCCTTTCACTGCACTCCTGGTCCAGTACATCCATGACTTTGTTGTTCCAGCAGAGTCCTGAGCTGGCCACAGCACTCCAGATGTGTTTCACCAGGGCTGAGTGAGAAGAGGGGAATCACCTCTTCTGGCAATGCTCTGGAAGAGCTGGCAACACCCTTTGTAGCGCACCCCTGGATGCTGTTGGCTGCCTTTGCCGCACAGGCACATTTCTGGCTCATGTTCAACTTGGTGGCTGCCAGGAGCTGCAGGTCCTCTCCTGCCAAGCTGCTTTCCAGCTGGTCAGCCCCCCGCCTGTACTGGTGCACGGGGTTATCCTCCACCTGGTGCCGGACTTTGCAGTTCCCTGCGTTGATTCCCATCAGCAGATTTCTCCAGCTTGGTAAACTCCTCTGGAACACCAGCACAAGCATCTGAGGTATTGACCACTCCATCCAATTCTGTATCAGCTGCAGACTTGCCAAGGGTGCACTCTGTCCCATCATCCAGGCCATTAATGGAGATGTTAACCTGTACTGGTCCCAGTATTGATCTCAGGTACACCACTAGTGACTGGTCTCCCACTGGGCCTCATGCCACTGATCACAACCCTTTGAGCCCAGCAGCTGAGCTAGTTTTCAGTTTTCACTATCTAGCCTGTACTTCATCAGTTTCTCTATGAGGATGTAATGGGAAACCGTGCCAAAAGCCTCACTAAGGTCAAAATAAGCAACAGCCACTGCTCTCCCTTCATCCAGCAGCCAGTAATCTCATCGCAGAAGGCTCCCAGGTTGGTCAAGCATGATTTCCCCTTCATAAATCCATGCTGACTACTCCCAATCACCTTTTTGTCCTTCATATGTTTGGCAATGGTTTCCAGAATTATTTGTTCCACCACTTTCCCAGGGATTTAGGTGAGGTTGACTGGCTTGTAGTTTTCCAGATCCTCCTTTTTGGCCATCTTGCAGATAGGAGTTAAGATTTACTTTCTGCCAGTCCTCAGGAATCTCTCCTGGCCACCACGACCTTCCAAAGATAATCAAGAGTGGCCTCACAATGACATCAGCGAGCTCGGTCAGCATTTATGAGTGCATCCCATCAGGTCCCATGAACTTGTGTATGTCTTGCTTGTTTGAATGTTCCCTAACCTGAGCCTTCTCTACCAATGGTAAGTCTTCCTTGCTCCAGACTTCTCACTGGTCTCTCAACTCTTGCATGTTTATTTTTTGTGTTTGAGTTTAATCAGGAGCTCCTTGTTTATCCTGGGAGGCATCCTGCCACCTTTGCTTGATTTCCTGCTCATTGGGATGGACCAATCTTGAGCCAGGAGAGGGCAATCCTTGAAAATCAACCAGGTGTACCACACCTCTTCTCTCTCCAGGACCATATCCCATGGAAGTCTTTAAGAAATAACTTTCCTAATTACATGATTGACATCTGTACAAGATACATTAGCAGATACTGTATTAAAGGAATTAACAAACACATAGATGATTTGTTTAGAATGAGCCCATATTGCTTTGGTTGGAAGGATTGCATCAGAATTCTTTAGGAGCACCGGCAGCATGCAGATAAGGAGCTGGTCGATATGTTCCCTTTGGGTTTCCAAAGGTGTTTGAAAAATCCTTCACTGCAAACTTTTTAAAGGTACTAAGCAACCATGTTTAGGAGAGAAAATCCTGGGCTGGATAAGTCAAAAGATAGGAGCAGAGGGTAAAAGTAAAGTGTCAGTTCTCTCAACTACAGAAAGTACCCACCGGTGTTTCACAGGGTCCTGTGCTGCTCAGCACATCCATAAGTGAAGTGCAAGAGGGTGAGCCATAAGATAAACAAATATGCTGATGGTGGAGCTATTTAGGACATTGAGTGCAAGGGCCAGCTACAAACTGGCAGAAGGAAATTCAAGGTAGATTGATGTAGTGAGGCAAACAGGCAAAATAATCCTCATCACATAGAACCATGGATTCTGAGCTATCACGCCTGAGATGTTTCTTGATTAGTATTAACTCAAAGCTCATTAGCAATCAAAAAGCAGCAAATCAAATCTTAGAAGTTACTAAAAAAATAGAGAACATCATTATGACAGCAGATTATGATGTGCCTACATCTTGAGTGCTGTGCAGAGTTCTCACTCCCTCTCAAAACAGAATCCAGTAAAATTGACAGAGACATCTGCAGAGCTGATTATGCTTCAAGAGTAGGTCTTGGCCATCCAGTATTCTTCTGTCAAGTATAACAGAGAATTTGAAGGGTGCTTGATTTTTCACAGAGACTCAAGTAGCACTTATTGATGCTAAAGTATCATTAAGCACAAAATATCAAGTTTCTAGCAGTTTAAGCAACAAGCTACCTAGATTGGCAAAACAAATACAACACATAAGCATCTAGGAACTACTAAAAAACTTTAATTCCATTTTTTATTATATTCTTTTGAAGACTGGAGAAACATTTTTATGTAAGGCTTGATGTCAAGGTGAGGCATGCCAATGGCTTTATCCGACATTTTACCTTACATGCCCTCAGCCAATCATTTTAAAAGGTAACTGGCTTATGATAACTTTTCTGAGATATTTCTTGTTTACTAAAAGAAGTTATGCAACATGAAAAAAACATAAGTTCTGGTCTTATAGCATAATTATTTTGATAGAGAGAACACAGGAAATCTATTCCAGAATTTACCTCAGTTTTTTTGATTCCAGCCAGCATTTTACAGTTCCACTTAAGGGGCAAGAAATAGTTAAGCTTAGATATGCTTTATAAACCATTAATTTCAATGACCAACCCAAATACCATAAAGACCTACAGAATCATCTCAAATTCACATAGTTGCTCATTTCCAGGATTTCACGGGGCTAAGAACAGATGTGTGTCAGAAATCAGGAAACTGGCTCAATTCCTTTGGGATTTTTCTTCCAGAATGGAAGCAAGGGGGAGGAAGGGGAAAGAAGAAAAACAATTTGACTGAAACATCACTCTTTCTCCTGTCTGAAAAAGAAGCTGAGTCTTTGAGCAGAATGGCACTATCAATTACAGTAGTCAGATCTTCATAGCTCCAGATAAGGGTTGAGATCTCGACAGATCTATAATTACCAGTTCTGATAAATCAGGGATCAGAGCTCTCTGTCTTCAGCATTGCCTACAGCACTTCCTTTCCCAGACACATTACAACCAGATAGGAAAGACAGTAGATAAGACATAAGCAAACCAGCGGATAGTCAAACAGTGTGTGCTTTGAGCATCACCAGAGTATTATTATTACTGCTTTAAGCAATCTTCCTTTTCAGTACTTCCCGTATCTTGTCTAATACTGACCCATGCATTGCAAATGGCGAGTAATCCCCCCCTTACCTTGATTTATGAGGGTTTTGTATCTATACATCTCCCTTCACATTTTCCCTATTTTTTTTTTTTCAAACTCCCCCTGTACCTCCAAAACCTGGGATCTTTCTATTCCACACAAGATACTCTTATAATACTTCATATACTAAAGTTTACAGTATACCAATTAGCAAGTTGCAACTAACACACCTGGTAGCATGGAGATCTTATAAAAGCACAGGTTGTTAACGTATCTTCTTACTCTTAATAGCCTTACACTGACAAAAAGGTTCCTTATTTCAACGGTGACATTGGGTAGTTCACATTTTCCATTTCAGAAACAACATACTTACTGGAATTAAGTACATCTAAGAACAAGAAAAAACCCCCACTAACACTCTATTTATTTTTCTACATTCATTGATTTGTGATGCATACTCATTCCTTGGTAAATGAAGAGGAAAAGCTCAAATGCACAAACCTAGCTAGTGTAAAAAAACTACTCGCATCTGACATTTTGGAAATACCAAAAGGTATTATGTACAAAGAACCCTCTAAAAGCAGCCCTTTTTTTGTACTTCACTTACTTGAAACCAAGTATTTTTCTCCACAACTCATTCCCCAGTTTCTCCCTGAGCACGGCAGCACACAACCAGAAAAAGTCATATTTGCCAACGTCTTGATCCTTGCCTCTATCCCCTCCCACGGTAAAAACCCACAGTTTTGTTAAATCTCTTTATTTACAAAATTTTTATAACAAAGCAGGTTTTTTTTTTAAAGTATAAAAACAGCAACAAAACCTTTAGATTACACAGGGGCTAAATACATTATGTTGAGAGGAAAGGCGGAGGGGAAGAAAAGTTGACAATAAAAGAGATGGTGAGAGTCCCGACTTTTCCTAGAGGCTCGCCCTGAGGGCCCTGAGGCTGGGAAGCAGCTGGGCTGCGCTCAGGCGCTCCTCTACATTAGCCTTCCAGCAGCAGCTAATAATGCTCTGGAGCCTCCGGCCCACCGGTGACTCGTGGAAAACGGCAGCAGCCAGCGAAGGGCGTAAGTTATAGGCTACCACGGCATAGAGCACGTGCTGCCGCTCACCCAGGTAGGGCTGCTCTCGCATGACGATTTGCCAGAGGGTGACAGCAAAGGAGTAGATGTCTGCTTTGGCAGTGACCCTCTCCCCCTTGAGGAGCTCGGGGGCACGGTGTGTGTACGTGCCCCCTTGCTGGCAAACGTGGGGGCTCTGGGACAAGCCCTCCTCCAGTTTGTGAGAGCACCCGAAGTCCCCGATCTTGCACACTCCCTGCTCAGTGATGAAGACGTTCGCAGGCTTCAGGTCCAAGTGCACGATGCCTTGCGAGTGAAGAAAGGCTAAGCCGGTCACGATGTCACAAGAATAGCACACGGTCTCTTCCATGCTCAGGGCCTTCCTTCCGCATCCTCCTTCGTCATCCTCGCCCTGTCTCCACGCATCGCCAGTGCCATAAATTACATGGTGCAGGGTGATGTGGCCCACGTACTCCATAATGATGGTGCCCAGGCTGTTCTGGCTGGCCGGGGCACACGTGCTGGCAGCCACCACACGTACCACGTTATCGTGCTGTAGCCGGGCTACGTTCAACTCGGCCCAGAAGCTCTGTCGTGACGCCAGCCGGTTTTTGCTGCTCTTCTTCACCTGCTTCACAGCCACAGTGGTACCATGGTAGGTGGCTTTGTAGACCGAACCGAAGCCCCCGGAGCCTAGGGGCTGCAGGAGGCAGAGCTGATCCCAGTCGATGCAGCACCAGGCCAGGCGTGGAGGCAAGCGGCGAGTCCTGACTGAAGGAGCTCCCCCCAAGAAGTTTTTGCTGTCTTTGCCAGGGATAACTAAGGGGCTGCTGCAGGGTCGCAAATCTGCAGAGGGGGAAAACTCCAAAGGAAGAAAACAATTAAGAGGAATGGGTGATGGCATAATAAGATGGAGAAAACAGGCAGTTACTAAGACAGAAGACTGGAAAGCTTCCCTGACAGAAAGGACTCTACAGTGGCTTCCGAAGCCTTTTATCCTCTCTTCACCATTCTCCCTTCCGCCCCCAAATGAACTGCATCTGTCACAACTAGCTGAACCCAATCAGGCTCACCTGGAAACATTCTGCTCCAACCCTGCAGTAAATCTTTAGAAAGTCAAGGCAAATGGATTTAAAGCTAAAAAGATATTAACTCACATATTCCACATCGTTTCTAATCTCAAGAGAAAAGAGAGATGTTCTGCCCATTGAATGCCTCTAGCAAAATACCTCAGGACTAGATAAAGCAGTGATTGGTAAATGCATTTCACCATGGCTCTGGGCAGGAATGATCCTCATCAGATGCATTAAACAGCTCAAAGTCATTGTCAGAGGAAGCAGCTGAAATGGTGAGTGCTAGCATTTGATGAGGCTATAGCAGGCATAACTAAATATAAAAGTGTTTGTAGAAACCTGCCACTTAAACATGACTGGGACAAGGGGACTGGTTTGGCTGCTCAACTCTGCCCATGCAGGACAGCAACCTTAATAGCAGCATAAAGACAACTGATTGCTCTGTATCATCCATTGGATATAGTAACTAGAATTATACATAAATATTTGGTCATCTTCCCATCACACCCCATGCAGTTACCACAGGTGTGTGTTTTAGTTCTGGATCCTCCTTAGTAAACTTATTGCTAAATTTACAGAGCTGTTTTGGCAGAAGTCAAATGTAATTTTCCCTTGCTGGTCCCAGTGTTTTTTTCAGAAAGGCTTCTGCTCTTTTGAACCTTCTTTCACATATTCACAGTGCTCATGCTAACTGCCTTAGTGTTTGGTACCTGCTGTACTGCCCATGCATCAAAGCACCCTTACAGGACCTATACAGCCAAGTGTTTTTTAATATTCCAATAAGTATCTTTCTGTACATGTTGACAAATATCTTGGAAAGCTTGATGCCCATTTCCCACCTCCTTGCCCTTCAGAACCTTCCTCTGGATGTCAGCTTTGCCAATACAGATCCTGCCATGGGACTTCAAAGATTGGTGGTGCCTGTTTCTCCAGAGTTTACTTCTGGGCAGCATTGGCTCCGCAGGCAATTCCTGCAGAGTTTTCCTGGTGTTTTCTGTTCTTTTTGTTTTGCTTCTCTGGATGAGTAAGATGCAGCACAGATGCACTGAGGGAAGTTTCAGGGGTGCTCAGAACATGTGCTAGCAGAACTGGAGTGTTTTCCACCTTGAGACCGGTTCGGTCGTTCACCTCAACAGACATATCCGATGTCCCAAAGATATCTTCTGACCCTGCTCGATCTCTAGATCAGTTCAAAGGCATCACTCTGTAGCAAATCAGTGATGGAGAAGTTCCCTGGTACTGAGACTTAGGACTACCAGGAGAAATTTGTCATCACAATTCACAGGGAAGCAAACTTGGACCAGAGGTGAATGAGAATGGGGAATTCGGGTTATCACCTGCCAGTGTGGAACAGATAGGCTGGGGAAGAACTAGATAAATAGGTGCTAATATGCATTATAGGAGTTGTTAACAAGTGAGAGTGCAAAGAGTTAGGGATGCTAGAGGGCCTCTCAATGGCCCTGGGTGGGACAGTCCCTGCAGATGGGACTGCCTGACACCACCAGCCTCCTCTTTCCTTGCCCCATCCCAGAAGGCACTCAAATAGTACAAGAGGCCCCTGGACTCCTCCGGTGCTATCACCCCCTCTGAGCTTTCCGTTGTGAAGCACAAGCCAGCTGGGTACCACCCTGCTGCTGCCCCCTCCTCAGCGCAGCTCTCCGGCTTGAGGCACTGATGAACATCAGTTATGCAGGGATGCTTTGGCAGGGGGTGGGGGAAGCCCAGAGGAGCGTTAGGGTAGTTTTTAATATGCAGTGAGGTAAATCATGGAGACAACAGGTATTTTGCACTCCTTTTCTGAGCAGCACTGTGATTTTATGCTTGTATGCAAAAGTCTTCACTTCAATTTTGGCAGAGAGTGTTTTCTAGGCAGGCGAGTTGTGATGGAAAGGAAAAGCTGCAGTAAGCAGATGAAACTATACTGGAGAGAGAAAGGATTTTTTTATGCCTATTTTCTGAGTGCTATTAGGCCTCCAATTCTTGCGTGGATTTCTGTGCCATATAGTATACAAAAGCAGCAGGGAGATGTCTCTGCTATGAATCATCCTACAACTTCAGCCTCCTCGTGCGAGAAGTGCACTTGTTACAACCTGTTTTCACCAGGTTAAGGTGGCAGAGAAAGTTCAAAAGGAAAGTTGGTTGAGGGAGAAGAGTAGGTAGAAGGATGTGTGGATGAAGGACCTGAGAGTGGACCTGTTAAGCTGACAGCTATAGGAGCATAGCTGGAGATTGCGAATGCTGCAGAACACAGCATTAAAATCTATGTTCATAAAACAGAGGGTTAGGATTGGGGCTGTTCCCAAATTACTTTGGTTGAAATCTCATTCGGAAGGATACAGCAGACCTTCCATACTATTTTTTTCAAAATCCATGTCCCCCCCACTCCTTCCAGTTGTCCCTTTTTGGGTAATTTTCCTGTTACCCTTTTCTGTTGGAAACCTTTCTGTTTTGCCCCTGTCACGGCAGGCATGTTGTATTGTTCTTGGGGAACACAAGTGAATTTTTGAACAGGAAGAGGGGCGTATTTTGGGATCTAAACAGCCTTAATGTAGCTTACTGGCCTGTCTCAAGCTGACTACTGAGGACCAGAGCAGGGGGACATCCGGTGTCTTTGAATGTGAACGCAATTAAAGCAGATTTAAAAAGAAGCAGGCTTTTATTCTTAATAAATGTTATTCTCTTGTAATCCATTGATGACTTGGCCCAGTGACTTCCCACGAGACACAACCGCTGTAGGACATCCTTGCCACGCTTCACAGCCCCGTTTAGCTCCAGCATTACTGCAGGCTGGAGGAGGGGGCCACGGCGTGGCCCAGGGAACTATTTTCAGGGGGGAGCAGGGCTGCTGGGGACAAGCTGCCCCTTCCCTCCTGGCTGCCCTTCCCCAGGGGAACCCACAGCATCGCACCAGGCACCCACAGCAGCCTCCAACCACACTGGTCCCATTTCACTGCTATTTCCACAAGGAAAAAAGAAGCTGTATGAACCAGAAGTCATCAGCAGAGAATGCAACAGGAACTTTCACAAGTGGCAAGAGGGAAACACAGTCTGTATCCCGAGGGCTGCAATATGTCACAGCTACGCAGTATGTCACAACTACCATAACCTGTGGCAGCGATGGTTCTGTTCCAAGCTTATGTGTCCTATTTCTGCAAGTAAAACATGCCTGTGCATCTGATGCTGCAACAGCTGCCCAACCCAATCTGTGCTTCCAGCTGAGAAGGAATACAGAATCAGTCTTGCTCGGTTCACCCGTTTATATTTCACTTGTACATCAGGAACACAGAAACTCTTTGTTTGCCATTACTGTTAGTTGCCACTGCTGTTCGTTGAGTTGCTGGACAGCAGAAGTCAGCCCTGACACCAAGGGCCATAAAGGACCGATATGGATGTCACCCACCACAACAGAGGACACATACCAAACACCAGTTTCATTTTGATCAAGGTGCATCACTGTTCTGGTTCTTAACAGCCACAGTTTTGTCTAAAACAGGAGAAGGACAGAACTGGGGATTGGAACCGATTTCTGAGAGTTTAAGAGTGTATAGTTATATTCTTCTCCACAATCATGACTTTATTTCTCTGTACATTTGGTTGATGTACCATGTAAGAAACCCTTGAAGTCTTGGCTGTCCAGTGGCTTCTAAGAACTGCTTTACAATATAGAGGTATCATCGTGTTTCCACTAAATTACTTTATAATCTTGCTAAAGGAGTCAAATTTCTCTCTCAAGTACTTAAATTACAGCCCTATTCTCAAAACCACACAGTTCCTTAGCCTGTGCCTTAGTGATTTCTGAGAGGTTTTCTTCCCAGTTTCAAATGAAAGTCTCCTTTTTTCTCCATTTACTGTCAGTCCCTGTGATCTCAGTTTAGGATTTGATGATGAACCTGCATTCTTCCTTATGCACATAGTGTTTCACAGTCCAAACGTTGCTTCCAGTCACACCTCATAGACCTCAAATGATATTCAGAGATGCCTGAAAGCAGTTCTGATATGATCAATTGCATAGGTGTAAGCAATACCATTATTTGAAGCCAGTCCATACACAGGCTTGTTCTGAAGACAGGCCACTGATTAACCTTTTTTTTTTTTTTTTACTACAGGCACAAGCCAGAAAAAAAATCCAGTTCATATTTCAGAGTTTGGTTGCTTTGGTGAGACAAATGAGACCTCGGATAGTGAATACAAGCAAGTTTTCATTAAAGCAGTCAGAGGTAAACCCAAATGCAAAGAATGAATACATCTGCAAGAATTGTGATGCTATTTTACTGCTGAGAGACATAATAATAATAAACATTTTAAAAGGTTAAACCCTAGTTTATAAATAATAAGATCAAGTTTGAAACACACATTGCCAAACAGCTGCTTGATGCTTTTTTCTTTCCCAGGAAGGTTACTCCATGTGTTCAACAGCACCAAGCAAAGGTTCTCCTTACCTGAATGCACTGAGGTTTTAACTAGCAAGGCAGGTGAGGTTTCACAGCTAATTTACTGGGGCCTCAATGACCACCACTGACCAGGGTGGACCAGGGACAACAATCTGGGACCTGCTGCTGTACATTAATATCACAATTGCGAAAGAACACCTTGAGACAGGCTAAGAAAATCTAAACTTAAGGATAAAGATAACAAAATGTGAAATACAGGCTCTCACCCAAGCAATACTTTCTGGCCTTGCAAAGATGGGGTTACCTAACCTGGCAGGTTTACTGCCATCATATGGCAGGCACCTTATGCAGTATTTTCAGCCAAATTGTCCAAGACTAGTTTTGCAGTCTTGCCCCTGGAGCAAAGCTGACTTTGCTGGGTCACAGGGAGAGGACAAAAAGTAATGGTGGAATTTGAGACTTGTAGCTGAAGGACTAGAAAACAGCTTCAATGGTTAATGAGAAAAAAAGAGTCACCTACAGCAAAGGGCCCAAGGGGTAATGTTAGTGCTATTCTACCGCCTGGAGAAAGCTGCTTTCCCAGGTCCATAGATTTAATGCTGATGCCTAGGACTGAAGTATAAAAGGGTCAGTCTCTCCCAGCAGCTTGCACAATCCCATTAACACAGATCACGCTCAGCTCTGTGACTACATTCAATACACTGCCATAGCAAATGTGGTAGCTCCCTGCAAACATCACGTCTTCAGGGAGCTGCAGAAGGGAAGAGGCAAAAGGATCAACTAAATTTGGTGGCTCTGAAGTGATGCCCTGGGCACTCTGGTGGGCCATGGCAAATTATCAGAGGTTGCCCTAAGTTACAGGGTTTTAAACCTGCTTGATTAAAATGGCTCGTACAATTCAAGTATGTTGTTACAAGGATTACATCAGTGAATAAGCAGCAGTGTCTTGCAAAAATAATGCTGAAGAAAAATATGCCTAAGCTGAAGAGAGCACATAAACTATGGGGCAACCCTGTAATACTTCATTGGCATAAGGAGCCAGACACTGACAAAGAGGAGGCAATTTTTAGGTGAGGACAGACTTCAGTGAGTTTGGGAGTTTAGTCTGTGTTTATTTGTCATTAATGTTTGATAACTGATATTCCTATGTTAGAGCTCGGATGTTGCTCATTTACGGCATGCCCCTCAACCATACAGAGCCTGTATTTTCATTTTCAATGTAAGTACTTGTGAGGGAACTTAAGGATTTACCCATGACCATGTGTGTAACAATTTAACACAAAGTAAGCCAGAGTTGAGCTTAATTTCAGAGACACAGCCTACAGAACTTTTCTGCTGGAATTGTATCTAATACTACACAAGGATAGCTGACAAACACCTTTCTCATGGGAGTCTGTGTGCCCCTTAGATAAATTGCTGTCTCTCATAGATTAATCAAGTATTTGGAAGAAACTCTTCCAACTTGCCTGGGAAACCACACAGTGTTAACTAGGAGATACCTTTACAAACAGCATGATTCATTTTGGACTTGTAAAACACAAACACTTTGAACTTTTTTAAGTAAACCAAAACAAAATAAAACTAATTTCTCAACTTTTCCAGGTTTGATCACTACCATCCCATGCATACATACATGTACACACATACATACACATACACACACACACACAAAAGTTTAAGCAATGTACCGATTTTCAGAAACTGTGACTATTCAGGTTCTCGGCATTATTTTACATACATCAGGCAGAGAGCTGACTGATTGATATGAAAATGGACATTAAACCATTCTTCTTCTTTGTACACTGCAGTTCAGTGCAACAGTGAAAATCAGTGCCATGGGCAAACTATCAAGGATCAATTCAAATGATTTCAAGCCCAGCCACAGTGTGCATTACTGTAGTCCTGTTTTCAGACTGCTCAGCTGATAGCTGATGTCCCTTCAGTCCCCTCTGAGGCAAACTAGCTTTCTAGCTGGTGATTTTGTGACACAAATGTCCCCAAAGGAGACAAGGTTGTGGGATGACGATGACATTGAAGAATACAACTGTTAATTTTATTTTTTTAAAATACTTATTTCTCTGGAAATGTTAATTTCTTGAGGACACACAGACCATTACAACAAATAAATATAATTATATAAAAGTAAAAATACTGAGCAAGATGTTAGACCTTTATTGGGAGTAGACAAAGTTTATACTGAATTACCTGGGGTATAGCACATGAGCAGGAACTTGAAACTTCACGCTACTGCTACTGGGGCCTGTAATTTTCAACACCACTATCTCCACTGTTGTTCAAAACACAGAAATACAGCATTGCTGTTTATTTGCTAAAGGCCCCAGCTCGTAACGATAAGCAGCAGTTAATCCTCCAATACACTTCTCAAACTTTTAAGCACAGACTAAATTTTGTAATAGAGCTTATCTTGCTGTCCTACTTGCTGCCTGTTTGTGACCGTCAACCCTTACTGTGCCAACTACGGCAACTGCCACTTTGGAAAACCTCATTTCTATCCGATTTAATACAGTGTTTTGATTTGCAAAGCGAGGAAGCCAACAGCATGTACCTGTTCAGTTCTCGCTCGTCCAGCAGCAGCTCTGCATCACAGTTTTGGGTTCCTCTGTCAAAAAACCACTCTTTATCCCAGGGCATGCTTATACATGGGAAGGAAAAGGAGAGTGAAGGGCAAAACCGCAACAGTCTTTCTCTTCCACTTCTGGAGCACAGGGAGACGAGGTATAGAGGATACTGAAGGACCATTTTCCTGTACTTTCTTACTCAAGTTTTGGAAAGGGGTGGTTACAGGAGAGAGAGAAGGGAAGATACCTGTGGCTCTGAATTTAACAAGGAAAGCTCTGGAGGGACTGCACCAAGAAATGTCTGGATATAACACAGATACTACCCATGCAATCACATTCCACTTATTACAGAGGTTGACGGAGTTTCTAGAGGGTGTCTGTTCGGAAGGAGGACATCTTAATTCAGTAACAGTGGGTGAGACCAGCTATGACAGTGACACAATAGGGTGGTTTTCTCTCGGGGTGGGGGTGCAATAAATGGTTTCGCAGAGTATATTGTAGAGCATCTGTAGAGCTTCTGACTCTGATATAACAAGGCCAACCCTCTCAAGCAGGTTAGAAACCTCTAACGCAGAAGTGGCAAGTCAGCTCAGAGGAACGGGGTAGGGATCACAAGAAAGGAAAAATGTCTGTGTACAGAGAAGGCGAAAGCCAAAAACTCTAACGACCAGTTCTCTCAGACTGGGTTACAGCAAGAAATCTAGGAAGTCAACACGTGAAAAAGAAAGGAACCCAAAAGCAGGAAAACACAGACAATGCTGAGGATGTTAACGAAATAGGTTCTGAAAAAGCAATGAAACATGAAATGCTAGTCTTTTACTTTCCTGGCAAACAGTCCACGCTAGGGAACAACTGTGTGGAATGAGCAGAGAGGCAACTGCAGTTGTGAGCAGGCTGCTCGTCTGGCTGCATAGCACCTCCTCCCCCCATGCATTAGAGTCAGACTTCTTCGGCAGTGTCACAGGCAAACGGGAGATCTATGGGATCAAAGCAACGGAGTTTCTCCTGGAAATATTTCAGAGACAACCCATATACTGAGTCTAGCACATGCCACACCCTTACAGCTTATCCTGCAAACTATCACAATTGATGTAAATTACTTGCATTAATCCGAAATGATGGAGGATCACTCACCTACATCTCCCAAACGAGCAGTCCCACTACAGAAACCCCAAACTCACCTTCCAGTGTCTCACAGCATTTCAAAGTGCAATTTGATGGCAAGCTCAATTGCTTCCTTCAGTTCAGATCTGTCTTGTCACAGACACAGTAGCATCATCCAATTTGCTCCTTGGTGAAATCATGAAACGCAGATACTTATGCTTTAAGATTTTCTGAAAAACTGACATTTTACCAGTCGTAAACTAGAAAGACAGTTATACCTTTGCAAACTCAGACTAACTACACCCAGCAAAACTGGGTGTATTCTGTAATTACTTATTGTAATCCCAAACATGCAGATCAAGATTATCTATTGAAATGCCAGGCATAAGTTATTCATTAACTAAAACCATTCTGTAATTTTATTGATATATTTTGTGGAGTTCACATATTTTTGTACAGCAAACATAACACTGTAGGCCACAAGAAGCTGCAGCACTATTGTTTAATAGCAGCAAGGTATATTTTATAATCAGGGTATGTGGACAATAAATAGTCTGTTTCTTTGGATGTGAATGTTTAAAATGAAGTTCTGCTGCAGCTTCATAATGTGATTGCTATTTTACAGAGCTTATACACAAAAATATATATGCAATCTTTTTGTCTATATTTTATACAAATACAACAGTAGTTTGTGAATACATTTTAAAGTACATATACATGATAAGCAACTCAATTTCCCATATCACAGGATAGCAAATTTTAAATGCAAGAAACATATACAAATTCAGTCTGGAATGCAGGGTTTTCTGTGTCTTTTTTTTCCTCTATTTTTGACTCAAAACTTTTATCATTAAAACATTTTAGCACACAAGTCCAAACAATTTTTCCACTAGCTAAAAATATAATTTCAGCAATCCGAGTCAGGTTTGGGTGTGTCATCATTCCCCAATATACTCTTCCCAGTTTTTGTCTAAATTCAAAGGCTTTTAGTAATATATAGTATGTTCTTCACTCCACACCATATAAAAAGCCCACATTTAATTTAACTAGCAGTCACCTATTTTTGTGAACAAGAGCTGGGCTTGTCAGCGTTTAAATTTGCATGTCCAAAATTTTACTTTTGCAAGTGCATATGAATACATTGTGGTGTTGCACAAAGTTCATTAATGACAAATTAAGTCACAGTATAAAAATATATCATACAACTATAGGTCTAGTATAGTCCTTTTTTCTATGGGTAAAAATACATCTGAATGAGACAGGGAGGTTTGTAGCACCATGAGAGGAGTTGTATCCCAAGTTACATTAGCAGCATGATCCAATATAACAATATTGCAGGAGTGTTTCTGAGGAGATAAACATTCACTCTGGTTCAACTGTACCACTGAAGCTTATACTGAAAAGTGTTTACATATGATTAGCAATAGTTCTGTGTCACTTCCAGGGCTAGATAACTGTTATCAAAAGACACTGCCTTCCAACAAAAGTAAGACACCCTTATTGCATAAAAGCTTTGGGACTATCCAAACACATTTTGAACTACTGTGGCATTACTTGTACTCGAGCGTGATGCTAAGTAGGCTGTGGCTTTAACTGTACGCTGGGAGGATGCAGGGTGGGCAGCTAAGCCTATACAGTTTACTACATATCAGATAAGTACATTTATTTCAGAGGCTTATCTATAGACTGAGAAGAATACAGGATGAACTGCTAAACCAGTGTATGAGACAGACATAATGAAGGATGCAATCCTGCTCCCCTCGACTTTTACGGATGCAGGATCAGGCCCTAAATTAACTTCAGACAGCAGCATAGCGATGATAGGATATGATAAAAAAAATCTGTATCAAATACTGCACGTTAAACATTTTTTACATAGTTTACCACCCAGTACTCCAGAGGACACAGTTTGCAATTGGTGAGGACAAACTCCTAAATTTTTTTTGACTGGTATTCAAAATGGCAGTAGAAGACAGTGTAGTTTGAAACATGTAAACCTAGTAAAAACCATTGTAAAACCCTTAAGAAAGACACACTGGTTCTGTGCAATATAGCAAATTGATAAGAAAACACTGTAAAAATGTACCTGTTTAAAATTACAATGTCTACCATTTTGTACACAAAGCATTATACCAAAGGCCTACATATACGTAATCTAATGGCACTTGAAACAAATTATAATAAAAGGTTTTATAATAAAAAGCATAACCTGTAAGAAATTTTCTTAAAAGGTTTAGGTTTTCTTTTTGAAAGTGCTATATCTTGTAATATGTGTAACATAGAGGTTGACCAAGCTTTATTTTAAAAAATATTGGCCTATAATACAAGTTTAGCTCACTAGGCAAATGATCCTGAAAATATGTACTCTTAACATTCATTATTAGCTTAATAAAGCAATCAGCTCTGGCTCATGTTTCAGTCAGTATATGGTTTTTAAAAACCGCTACTGCCAAATTAACAATAAATCACTCTATTCCACAATTTACTACTAAATAAAGCACAAGCAACAAGTACACAAAAATATATATATTAAAAAAAAACAACCAAAAAAAAACCTTACTAGAAGTTTAGAAGTTGCACAAAGAGTGGTGCATGATCAGCCAGCCCTCCCCCCCTCCCGCCGAGAATCCATCTGAAATCGAGAAAACAGGGTTTAAAAACTGACGGCTTAGTAGTGGCCAATATTGACTCTGCCTAAGTGATATTCAAAAGCACTCCGGTGGTGGTAGTATTGCTTACAATGTCAGTCTGCTTCCACGTTACCGTACACCCTAGTTCAGTGGCAAACACGCTCGGTGCAGCCACACACTGAAACCCTGACTGAATGAGGTTCAATATCTTGTCTGAGGTCCCTATTTCTCAAGTGAAATGTACGCCTAACTCCAAAGTGAAATGTCAATCCCTTTACAGAAAGCTAAGGCACGAACAAAGTAGTAAGGGTTCTGGCTACGCACTAAGAAACGGGCGTTGGCAAAGTGTCTGTTGGGTTTTGTTTCTTTAATGAAGTCTAATCGGCAACTGAGACCGACAAACAGTCGCTACGGACTGGAAATTCGTGTGCCAGAGGCTGCCCAGGACGGGCAGCGCTGCCCGGCCACGCTGCCGGGTTGGCTGCAGGATGCCGAGCGCTCGCAACTTTCCTCTGCTGCAGGGGGAGTTGCAGATGCTCACCTCCACGCGGGACATAACCCGCTGGTGGAATTAAGTCCATTTATCTTCACCTCAGACTGATTTAAAGGATTGAGGATAAACCCGAGTTCTTCCTAGATGCGTTATGGTTGCTGATTTAAACTAGAGTTACATTCGTTTGCATTCACCTTGTGCTCTGTTCATCTGTGTTTTTCTTTCCTTTAGAAAGGTGAAGAGGAAAAAAGCAATATTGAACAAATCATTCAACTAAAGATGTAAGTAAGCAAGCAATCTGTTTCACAGAAACCAGAGGAAGCAGTCATGAAGCAGAGCTAAAAGCCCACTTTGAGATAACGTGCTCCTAAACCCAAAATCTAGGAGTAGTTTGCAGAATTTCAAAAGGTATTTTCCTTATTAATACATCCTTATTTTAATGCCTTTGGAACACAAACACATTTATAAAAATGTTATCTTTTAGTAATAAAATTTAAATACACATATGTATAAAATAGTAAAACTACACCTGCATATTGCTCCTAGAATTAAAAAAAAAAAAAGTAGGAGCTACTGATAAAACATCTGGAGCATGAGCTCCTTAAATGGGAGCAACTTTTGTTTCTGTGAAGTATATTTAGTTTAACCACTTAAAACCTTGTATGAATCCTCATTATTGTTTGAGAGATACTAACGTATTTGATTTCTACTTTTTAATTCCTTGTACAAAAATGACAAGGAAATGAACGTTATTGTTGAATTACAGCAAATCTAGTTTGCTTTCATGCATCACAGGGTTGTTTTTTTTTTTTTTTTCCTCTTTTGGTTATTAGGGGTTGGGGAATAGAATATATTGCATTAGGTAAAAGTGGTGTAAGCAATATGCTTTTACTTCACTCCTAAGAGTCCTGTCTTTAAATCTTGGCAATGGGCAAAAAGTCCCTAACCAAGTACCCAGGTGTAGAAAGTGTGATTAACGTCTAACTTGTTGCTTAGGAGGACATAACACACCATGTAACACAACTGAAAAGATCATTCCAATAAAAAAAAAAACACCACAAAAAACCTGGTATTTGCAAATTTACATTCACTCTCTGACTGCACACTAGTTTTGAACTGAAAATAGATACACACTTTCTGGCTGGACTTGATCCACCCTTTGGCGGTGGCAGCTGGGAGAAGACTGATGCCTACAAATGTGAATACACTATCGGAAGATTCCTATGCAGTACTTTTTCTATGCTACTAAAGAGAAAAAACAGCAAGTTAAGAATTAAAACAAAAACTGCGACAAAATATTCTGCATTACTACATTACAACACTTTTATAGTTCAAGATCAGCCATTAATTTCGCCTATTTCCCTCTACCAGAGTCATGAAAGCACAACAACACAGTTCCAAATTCAACTTGAAACATTTGTCATTTAGGCAAGCAGAGATTCTCTGTTGAAATTCTGTTCAGCCATGATTTTAGAGAATTAAACTAAATTTTTTTCTTCCGTTATCCATAACAGGCCACAAAAATTTAAGCCAGAAAATGGCAAAATTCTTAACACCTTTTATAATGACTTCAATACAAGTCAAAATGCTATATATATGTACATGTGTATATATGGACTTCTATATATACACACACAAGTTTTCAGAAAAATCTGAATTCTATATTTATTTTTAAAATTTAGATTTGTCATTATAGAACAGATCAGATGTGTCACCATTTGAGAAGAGGATTTGTTTGGAAATGGACTGGAAATTTTTTTTCCCAAATCTTCAGGAATCTTTGTGATATATATTTTAACTGGATTCTTTGCAAATAGTAAAATATATTAAAAGTAAAAGTGGCAGTTCTACCACTGACATCAATAAAACGGAATAGCTGGTATGGTTGAAAAAATTTTTAAAAAGGGATGAGTGTTGAGAGTTTGCTTGGGATGACTTTCTACTGAATATTTGAAAAGTGTCAATTGGCAGTGAAAATGAAAACAATACAATGAGACTGTTTTTTAAAAAAAACCAACAAAGTAAACACAGCTGAGAATAAACACTTTCAAAACATTTTTAAAAAGTTAATTTAAATTTCTTACTGGCTTCATGAGATTGGTACTGTACAAAAGCGAGAATTTATAATGTCTTATAGTAGGCACTAAGTTAAAAATGGTCACCTAAGGCATTTCTACAAATAGACAGTAACAAGCCAGCTTTGTACATCCTATTGGAAAGCTTGATGAAATCGCGGTAGGGTGGTGGTTGTGCTTAGACTGCTTGTGAAAGCTGCTGACAACGAGTGCAGAGACCCAAGACCTATACTATTGCTAGGATCTTGAGGATCTTGGGTTTGTGGTGGAAGTTGAGTCATAGAAGAATGTGCCTCCTCTTGTGTATAACTCATTCCGAGGTTTCCCACTGAAACAGAAGGATTATAGGGAGGGCCATTTACAGGTATGAAGTTGAACAGCTGAGAAAAGTCCAATGATGGGGTGTTTAGAGGTTCGCTAATAGGAACGGAGCCCTTGGAAAGGGAAACCTCCCCAGACCCATCATCTAGTGGCCCTACTTGTGGATCCAGCCCTAGTTTTGATGAAGATGCTTGAGAATCCTGGGATGAAGAAGGCATACCACTTTGCAACTCCATCAAGTAACTTTCAATTTCCCCTTTCAATGGCTGTTCTTTTTCAGGCATAGAAATTGCATATGAGGTAGTACCGAGCGGATATTTCAACGATAGCTGGTGAGAAGGGTGGACAGACTCCATATCTATTGGACAAGGCATTCCCAATGGTAACGATGTGGCAACCATTTGGTGTGCAGATGCAGAACTCTGCATGGACTGAATCTGAGTGTTGTAGAGATTTAGTTGCAAAGTGTTTGTAAATGGCTTTGATGTCAGTTCACTGGAAGGTAAAGACATCACTGGAAGCAGCTCATCCTTAATAGGCACAGAAACATTGCAGGTAAAGGGATCTAGAAGGTCCATTGGCTCTGTTTTGACCTTCAAAAGTTCTTGGTTGTGACTTTTCTTCATGTGGCGTGTGAGGTGATCTTTCCGCCCAAATCTCTGTGCACAGTACTGACAGAGGAAGTCCTTTCTTCCAGTGTGCACTACCATGTGTCTACGGACATCCTTTCGGGTGTAGAACCGACGATCACAGTGTTCACACTGGTGTTTTTTCTCCTTCACTCCACCCGATGACTTGCCTGCGTGAGTTTTTAGGTGCTCCAGCAGCACTCCTGTGCTTTCAAAAGTCTGCAAACATACCTTACAGGTGAGGTCACCGCTTGTTGCAGCATGCAAAGCTAGGTGACGTTTGAACCCAAGCTTGGTATTGTAGTTCTTTCCACATTCTTCACACTTAAAGGCCTCTTTGTTGGGATTGTGTGTATGTAGGTGATTCTTTAGGTGATCTTTTCGGTGAAACATTTTCTCACAATAATTACACTTGTGGGTTTTCTCAGGAGAATGAGTAGCCATATGCCTTTAAACACAGATATATTCTGTAAGTAATTATTTTGATCAAAAAACACACGTGCTCATTTTTTAATGGCAGCTAAATACTACACTAAGGGCTGCTTTGCAACAGAACCTTTTAACTGAAAGCATGACACTACAAAGACAGTTGGACAAATTTAAATATAGCAAAACGCGAGCCATTTCTCTTAAATCGACACTTTAGTTTTGGTGGGTTTTAGCTACTGTAACAGGGGTATATGGGCAAGTATGAAAGTACTCGTGTAAAAGTCCATAGCCAAAAAATTTTCAGTCCATACTCTTTTTTCTTGTGACAATTCCTTATACAAATGAATACTCTATGCTCATTAAAAAAAACAAAACAAAAACAAAACAACAAACAAACAGAAAACAAAAGCAGAAAACAAATTAAGAAACAAAATCAAAGACATTAGCTGCAAACTTAGGTAATTTAGAATTCTAGAAACAATCCAATGGCTACTTTAATTAACACATCCTCTCTGCAATCAGCTGAAGGCGTACACAAATATATACTTTTACACGGCTTAACACGGCCAACATAAAATAGATAATATAATCTGAAAGATAAATAGAGTTTAATACCTTAGTAATTTGTACTTAGAAACAAAGGCCTTGGTGCAGTCTTGTTGTGTGCACTTGTAGGGCCTCTCTCCTGTGTGAGAGTATGAGTGAACCTTTAATTTCTCAACACTGTTAAAGGCCTTGTCACACAGTTGGCAAGGAAAGTTTTTTCTTGGTTTGGTTTCACCACGCTTACGTTTCCCTGAAGGGACTTTCTGGGTATCTCTTACTTCTGACAAATCACCAGGAATGACAGTGGCCATCGCAGCCTAAACCAGGCCTTCTTGTTGGACACTTGGGAATTGCCCAACTCCACTAAATGATTTAGCTTTAGATGGCTTCTCAAGTTTCATGTGGTCGTAAAAGAAAGCAAAAGGGGACTGGAAAAAAAAAATAAGAAACAACTAGTTTGTAACTAAACTTAGATTTTGAAGTTTTACTTGCTATGTGAAGCTTCTGAATAAAACTTAAAAATAAAATTAGGTTCAGCTGGTCTAATGTAATACCTGCAGGTTTCTTTACACTATTTGCTGCAACTCTTAAAACGCATTGCTCAGGATGAACAGATCCACATATGCCCTGAAATCACACCTCACAACCTTCCCCTCAAGCGCTGATGGAGAACAGCAAAGTTTCTATCAGATTACAGGAGGCATGAGGCAAAGAGCCTACCTACCCAGACAGCCTTTGGCAGCTTTGGATTTCAAAGGCGTTAGAGCCGCGCCTGCGGTGTTTGCACAGACATACACGCACACAAGCACGCACGCATGCACGCACATAGTTATCGAAGTGAAAACCTGTAAGCCTCAAAATGTTTGAAAACCTGTGCGAAAAGCAGCGGTACCCATGCTGACAGTCTGGGGGGGCAAAGCTTACGTACCTCCTCGCTGTGATTACCGCACACCTGTGTATCTACTCTAGTAAAACGTACGCATTGCCAATGATTGTAACACCAGGTGAAATTCTCCTGTAAACATACCCTCTACTAACAGAGACTTGACGTATTAACGACACAAACCCCATGGATTAGGGATAGATTAGATAGATCAGGGTTTCATCAGCCCAGCGCTGGAGACCCCCGCCCTCCTCATGCTATCCTGCAAGACATAGGGGCTGTAGGCGTTCAGGTTTAGGCTAGCTGAGGACCGAGGCTCTTAGTCCCGCTGGGGCACTGCAAACCGTGCAGTAAACCAGAGGCTTTCAGCTAAAGGAGGTGCGTGAGGCTCGCGTCTGACGTGCGGGCGAACAGCTTTAAATTCGTCATCTGGTAACACATAGTAGCAACTGGGCGCCTGCCATTACAGGGCACTCAACAGCCCTCCTTTGTCCGGGGTAGCCGACGGCTTTTTTTCGCCATCGGAGCACAATTGCTACTACAGATACCAAAATCCAGCACTGCCCGCTGCGGGAAGGGTCGGGCGTGAGGTCCGCGGCAGCGGGGACGAGGAGGAGGACAGCGGGAGGACGGCACTCCACGCGAGCGTTTGGCAGGGCCGGAGAGCCCCCA